GCAAATCGATGTATTGATTCGGAATGGGACTATTTTGAAAAAGTAAATCTGTTTTGCCAAACATTTCTGTTTGGTTATTTTTGTTCACTTTGAAAGCAACTTATATTTCTAGAAATTTTTTTTAATAATAAACAGATAAGATAAGAAATATACACATTTCATACATTTTGTATAATATGTGTTATTGTATGCTGTATAACACAATGTATTTTGTTATGTTGGAGTAAGGTGGCACTTGTTTAATATTCACCATAGAAATACGAGGGATATTTAAAATGTTTTTTAGACAATATAAAATAGATCATTTTGATATAATTTTTTTTTGCTTATTTTTTCATAAAAACTTTTATTAAATCAGTACTGATATATAGTAATCGTGCTGCAGAGAAATGGTCTCTTTTCATAAGCCATAAGAATTTTTTTCTACACTGCACATATACATGGTGTGCTGCCCATAAAATGAACAAATTAATAAAATTCCATTCATTATAAACTGATACATACTTTGAAATTCGTTTCTTTCAAGGATGACAAAAGGATAAAAAGTGCTTACAACTTATAAAAAATTTTAGTTGATTTTAGTTGAGTTGATTTATTAAGATAAATAAAAAAATGTTATTAATTCGGCAATAAAATTTAATATAAATATTATAATAAAATCTTTTTCTTATATCAAGGTTTTGTTCGTTTGAACGAAGCAGATAAATTGATTGCCTATATATTACGGACGAAAACTATAACTGGTTGTGAGTGAGACATTAAAGACAGCAGAGTACAAAAACATTGACTGTAACCCAGACTATCCTCCATAGTACTTAGAATTAGACAAAGATTTTAGTAAATACTTTTTTTAAGTAGTATGATTTCCTAATCTAGTACATGTTACGAAACTTCTAAAAAAGTACTATTTGACGGTATATGAAGCCATATATATGCTTCGTATACCGTGAAATAAATATCTAAGAATAGTTGGGGATTCGTAGGCAAGTCATATAGTATGTATATTACTAGGCTTAGAACATAACTGCGAGACTGTGCTTTTATTGCATACATGCCAATGATTTTAAACTTATAAACATTTATGCGAACATTTTTTATTTCAGTTTAAGTTTTATTTCAAGAACATTTTTGGGAGTAATAAGACTCATTTTATGTATTACGACTATATACTGCAGTTTTTGATACAAATAGACAGAATTGAAATATATTATCATTTAACATATATACAAAACACAAAAAACCCTTTTTTTTCAAGGAAGACCATCTATTTGAGAGAGAAGGAAGGAAATTTGGGAAAGGATATATAAGAAGAAAATATTTATTATATCGTTATTCTTAGAATAAAAACAAATTTCATTAAACCTTTGAAGCCAAAATGATTGTACTTTATCCGTTATTTACCTGACACATATATCTAGAAGAAAAGCAGGTTGTGAATTTAAATTTAGCAGACTCAAATTAATCTAAACTATTTACAAAGTAAAACTATAAAAATAACTGAAATCATTTTTAACTCACAGTATTCTTGGAGCCATAAATCACAGCATAATAATAGCAATAGCAATTAGAAAACCCACAACAGAAAACAACAAACCCCAATATAGTACAAAAAATGCCAATTCCTTGCACAAAGCAAAGGTTAGATAGATCCATCCAGTTGGTAAACGATTTACTTTTCTACTTAAGTCTACATTTCTCTCTAGAACCATTTGCAACAATTTGCACCGAAGTAAGTTCAGATAATTAAATAGATTATTAGTAAGATTTAATGCAATACAGAGTTTTAATTTTTAATTTAATTTTTTTTGCTCTGATATCTATTTAAAAATTAAAATCATAATATATGATACCGCAATTATTGCTTATAGTACTTAATGCAGAATGCAAACACTTTTTATAGACTAACAGACTAATAGACTAATAAATGTTCACAATAGACAATAGATAAATTTTGAGTATCAAAAATGCAGATCTGAGGTCAATTATTTCTGAATTAATTATCTGATTAATTATCATCAATTATCTGATGAAGTGATAAACAATAATCCAGACAAGGCGTAAAGAGGAGTTTCGAAGATACCTCGAGGTAATAGAGAATAAAAGTGCACTGGCTCAAATAGCTTTAACATAATAATAATAATAATATAAAAGTAGTTTGTGGAGTAAGATTATGCCTATATATTTATAAATGTCAGTGGCAGTTCATCTCACATATTCATGTCGACGTTAAGAGTTAGACTTGTACTAATACCCTGGCACGTTAACTAACATAGCTAAAGGACTTTTAATGGACATAAAATGGAGATCTCAATGTCGAGTAGTGACAGAGCAAATCAATTAAATTTTACCGTTTCTCTTTAACTAACAACTTTGGCAGTAAGGATCCTATAACTGGTTACCATATCTAATCTTGGACAGTCTCCAGTTAGTAAAATTACTATATTGAACAATGTGAAGTGGTCAAGACCACGAAAAAGTTATAATTATTAGTGAGAGTAGATCTTTTATTAATATTAATTGTCCAGTTATTTCTCGCAACTCAAAATTAAATAAGTAAATTCAAGTCACAGGTGGCGTAGTTATCAACATTGACTAACCATTATGTTCATCA